TAATAAAGAAATTGACAGACAATTCCATAAATTGCAGAAATGTATTTTTTCACTTATTTTTAGTCACACTCAATCACTTTTATTACAAAGATATAAAATGCACAGACATCTGCAATTTACATTTTTATTATATGTTTATGTCATTCGTCATCATTCGTTTGATCTAAAAGCACGTACCTAAAGTTAGTTCCGTAAGCTTAGTATTAATCTACCCTCAACATGACAAAATGTGATAAATGTGGAAAAAATATAACCAAAAGTAATCCTGGATTAGAATGCAACCAGTGCGAGAAAATAGTTCACTTAAATGGGAACTGCTCTGGTCTTAATAACAAGCAAAAGAATGCACTAAAGGCCGCTGAGAATCTAGGATGGACATGCCAAGATTGTCTTGAACCTAATAACTTACCTAATAACGTAACTGAATTAAAAAACTGTACTAACCTAACCGATTTTATTCATAAAATTCCCCACAAAATTAATCTAACGTGTATCCATTTTAATACGAGTGAAAATTTCGGGAATCAAGGAAGTGACACAACATTACTATTTAAAAATGTGTTTATTGCCTTTCGAAGTATTCTCCGCGAAATTTGACACATTTTTCCATACGATGGAACCAATCACTGAAGCAACCATTCCATTCGGAAGTTGGGGTCTCCAAAATGGCCGTTTTGTAGGCGTCCACAGCTTCTTCAGGTGAAGAAAATCTCTGTCCACGCAATTTATTCTTTATTTAAAGGAAAGTATAGAAATCATTAGAGCTTAGTTCGGGGCTGTACGGCAGATGGTCTAATAATTCTATGTTTTCTTCCTCTAAAAACGCTTTTGTTCTGTGTGCGGTGTGAGAACTCGCATTGTCGTGATGGAGGATGATGCGGCGGTTGCAGTTCTCTTTACTGAGTTCAGAAACGACCTGTGGCAAACAAATGCTAGCACACCATTTTGCATTAACCATTTTTTATCTCTCAAGAGGAATAGTCGTAACATGGCTGGTTTTGGAGACAAACGTGGTCACCATTTTTTTTTTGCAACACTCCGTGTACGAACAATTTTTGTTGGCTTTAACTCATTTTCGAACACCCAAACTCGTGACTGTTTTTTGTTTCGGGTTCGTACATGTATATCCAGGATTCGTCACCTAATACGATGTTGTATACAGCATTTGAGGATCCTGCGTGGAATCTTTCGAGAGTTCTGACGCACCAAGTAACGCGAGCCGCTTTTTGCTCTTCACAGAGCGAATGCGGTATCCATCGGGAAAACAACTTTTTTACACCTAATTGTTCATGCAAGATTATTTGCATTTGACTCATTCCAATTTCTAAAGTTGTCACATGTCGATCTTCCTCAATCAGCTTACGCACAGCATCAAAGTTTTCTTGGGTGACTGCAGTTTTTGGACGACCTTGACGGGGATCATCACTGAGCTTGACACGTCCACGTTGAAATTCAGCAAACCAGCGATAAATTGTGGTTTTGGATGGGGCTTCATCACCAAGTGCAGAAATCAACCGGTCAGCACACTGTTTTTGTGTTAAACCACTTCGAAAGTCATAATAAATTATCGCTCTTGAATTTTCTTGAGTCAATTCCATTTTCTCAACGACTAAACAAGTTTGACAAAACCTTGTGACAAGACCGAGAATCTTTTTTTTAAATAAATAAACGGTATTCGATTTTTAAACCCAAGGAGTTTTCAATTAAAAAGATTTTCATATGATATTGTATATTATATACGTGGTAGAGCCATGCTGCAGTTATATTAGTAATATAGTTGTAGCACGAATGGGTCGGCTCGACCGGGGAGTGACCACGCTCTCACAGAATACCAGCGTCAAATAGTAGCTTAATGCTGCTGTGTTTCGTATAGTGAGTGTAGAGAACCGGAGACCCTTTTTACTGGAAACGAGGCATTCCATCTGAGTCCTCACGGGTGACAACGCATCTGCATTTTGATTCGTAATCGAATATAGATGTAGATGTCTATGGGCCACAGCAACCACTTATCATCAGGTGGACTGTGTGCTCGTTTGTCACCCTATCCTATAAAAAAAATTACAGGAACAGTGGAAATATTCCATTCCCGATACATTTAGTGCAGCCTATCTATGAGGTCACTAATTTCAAATTTTTCTAGTTTAGAACACATTATAGTCACTTGTCCTATTAGTATTGATTTAATTATTCTGTCAGAAGTAAATATCCCAGAACATTCGATCTATCTTTTCCAACTAAAGAACTACTTTTCTGCACACTGCAGTTCGCCGTCTTTCGAGCGCAAACATTTTAATATTATTTAGAGTGAGAAGGTAGTTCGCTCATTTCTATACAAATAACATGAGGATGAGTTGTAGTGGTTATTTAGTTAGAGTAGTATACAGGACGTTTGGAGAAAATATAATTTAATATTTTTGAAATATACATATGGTAATTATATTACATATAGTAAGTATGTTAGTTTTTAGTTATATTATGTTAGTTGATTCAAAAAGTATGTTTTTAATTTGTATTTAATATTTTTAGGATTGATATTTTCCTTCAAGTTTTTAGTTAGTTTAATTTAAGAATAGTGATCTTATTTTGATGATCGCCATACATATTATGTGTTTTAGCTATAATTAATTTAGGGTTATATATACTTCTAAGCTGATGTTTGTACGTAGGTATGACTTGTAATTTTGTATTAAAGAACTGTTCTACAAGTAAAGTAAGTTTTAAGTTTTATTCTATTGGCAGGATACCACAGTATTTAAATAATTTGTTGTAACTGACCTTATAATGTAGTTTGATTTTAGGGGGGACAATTGTTTTGATGATTCTAAGTTGTAATTCATGGATTCTACAAAGATGCGATTTCCAGGTTCTACCATAGCTACTTAATCCGTATTGTATTATTAACATTATTTATTAACTTTGTTTAGTATGTATTTTAGTTGTTGTAAAATAAAAATAAAATAAAAAATATATAGATATATAGGATATATAGATTTTATAGCCGAGTTCTAATAACAGACACACCAAATATTAGAACGCGTGTCGTATACTTACATTATTCATCAATAAAGTTCACAACTAGATATAGGGCTCCACCGTAGACCGTAGACCGTAGACCGTAGCCGTGGTAGCTCAGTGGTTAACGCTCGCTGTAATTATAACAGAACGCGAGTAACCCGGGTTCGATCCCCGCCGGCACCAATGAAATTGTTAAGTGCAATTTTAAGTGCTGATTTACCACGTGCTCGGCGGTGAAGGAAAACATCGTGAGGAAACCTGCATGTCTGAGGAATGAGAAAAAAAAATATTTCGAAGACATGTGAAGTTCGTCAACACGCATTTGGGCAGCGCGGCGGACACTTCCTTGCCCTAAACCATCTCAGAAATGAGGGGAGGCCTGAGCCCAGCAGTGGGACGTATATAGGCTGTAACTTCTTTTAACTTTTACCGTAGATTTACTTACAAAAGGTTTTTCCATAAATACCACGTTTTGAGGATCGCAGTTTTCAGTTGCTATCAGAAAATTCTTTTTTCTCTGCAAATTTACGGCAACACAATCTTGCTATATATTTGTACTTTAGTTTACGAATTAATTCACGTTCCTAATTGTAATTCATTAAGTTTAATTGTTAAAGCCTTATTATGTTCAGTTTTGTTTTTGTATTAAAATAACAGTAACCTAATAGTTGGGTGTAACTATAGAACTAAATAGTTCTATAATAGAACTTTGATTCAAATTCATCTTTGTACGACTATATTAAGCTGTTTATGTAATAACAGCAACGTTAAAAGCGTTGCTAGGATTCGACTTATTGCAAAGGCAATATAATATGTAAGGTTTTGTAGACATATGTCCTTGAACATTAGGCTTTTGGCTAGTGACAAGTAGATGAATGTATATCATGTGTCAAGTTACTAAAGCAAAACGAATTTTTCTGACGATTGAATAAAATGATTTTGAGTTTGATCAAAGGATGCTATTTCAATTTATGATTTTTTTCACCGTTACTCACATAAGTAGCGAAGAAAAAAAACTACTATTACAATGTTATTAGTATTTGTTTTATGAAACTACCCGTAATAAATCATTTCATATCTATTGATCTTACTTAGATTTACTCTAGAAATTATTTTTATTTATACACACTTAAATTTAAAGAACCGTGGTAGCTCAGATGGTTAACGCTCGCTGTAAATATAACAGAACGCAAGCAACCCGGATTCGATCCTCGCCGGCACCAATGAAATTGTTAATTGCAATTTTAAATGCTGATTTACCACGTGCTCGGCGGTGAAGGAAAACATCGTGAGGAATAAAGATATTGATAGTTACTTTGCAACTATCCGCTCAATTAAATAAAGTAATAATAAAAAAACTAATCTGTGATATAACCGTATTAGTTTTTATGACATAGTTAAATAAAACATTTACGAGCTAAATTATCCCGTAAAAAGTAGTGGAAAACGATACAATTGTTTAACGGTTTTGCTGTTACGTTATTCTTAAACGTATTCTTCTTCTACCTAGCGTTTATCCCGGTTGCTCATCCCGCCCAGCGCGGGAGAACCCAGGGTCCGCTTTCCTACACTTCCTCCTCCACTTTGCCCGGTCTTCGGCGTCCCTCGCAACTAGCCCATTGGCGCGCATGTCATCCTGCACGACATCAAGCCAGCGTTTCTTGGGCCGTCCTCTACTCCTGGTACCAGGTAGGGTCATGTCCAAGCATTTGTTTCCCACGTAGCTTGCCGGCCGTCGTAAGACGTGGCGGTACCAGCGGAGGCGACTTTCCTAGAGCTTGTCAGCAATATCACGGACATGGAGGCTGCCGCGGATGTATGTATTCCGTACATGGTCTTTCCGCGTGACACCACACATCCACCGCAGCATGTTCATCTCCGTGACATGCTACAACCGCCGGTGTCGCTCCAGCACCGGCCACGCTTCACTGCCGTACGTAAGGACAGGCCTTATGATGGTCTTATAGACCTGTCCCTTCAGATTATTATTCAGATATTTTGGGGTCACAAATGACACCCATCACCACGCTCCATTTCGCCCAGGCCGCTGATATACGGGCCTTGATGTCGCGATCGATGTCCCCGGACGCATCAAGCACAGATCCGAGGTACCTGAAGTGGTCCGTGCGCTCGACGGTGTCGTCGCCTATACGGAGAGACGTCAGATCTGTGCTGTTGCAGGCCATATACTCCGTCTTCGCCACATTTAGCTTCAGCCCGCCGTTCTCAAGCGCCTCCCTCCATGCGTGCACGCGTCGGGTGAACCGTCCTTTGTTCCCATCTACCATTGCGATATCATCAGCGTACATAAGCAGCCAAGGCTGCGGTAGTTTCTGTACGCTGGCTGACAGTTCGAATAATCAATTAATCTTAAACGTATTAATGTACAATTAAGCTTTTCCAAGTTCGAAGACATGACGGTAACTTTACTGTTACCAGACCGCTTACTTGAAGTTTACGTTTCTTTAATGGATAAAGTAGATTAGATGTGGCTCATTCGATGATCAGAAGAAAGGAAGTTGGAAAAGTTTGTTCGAATTTAATTTTGATTTCTTAAAGCAATTGTAAATTTGGAGATGGGGAGCCTTTGTGTAAAATATATCTCTAATGCTTTTACTGCTATAATTGTTCATGGTGTATCAAAATATACTCCTAGCGCCACCTGATTGTATTTCTTGTAGACTAATCATTTAAAGTAATGTAGTTAGTTAGTTTGAAACAGAAAGGTAAAGTGTGTTTTTTTATTCGTCTTAGAGTAACAAAAAAGCTAAAATTCTATCCGTAAGTAGCTTCTAAAGCCCATCAATACCTGAAACTGACTTTAAACAAATTAGGCCATATATTTCGTTACTTATTCTTTATACCAATATGTTGCTTACGGTGTTGTATGTGCGTATACTATACTCTTTTTTGATAAAACTTTTATAAATACCTTTCTAAATTTGTTTGTATATCTTTATAAATAAAATAAAAATAAATATTTATTGTTATGCCTGAAGACAGATGAAATGTCTCACAACAGGCCATTATACTGGCTTTCTTATCCTACCTGTGTGTGCACTGTTGATACCGATACTGAATTTAAGCAGAAAGGCATATTATCGACCAATTTAAACATTTCCTTATGAGTCGTTTTGGCTCATAAATATAGGATTTTTTAACATTCTACTACAGACTACAGCGCTACATATGTATTATTGTCTAGATAACACAAATATATTGTGTAAATATGACCGTAACCGGTTACGTCATTCAGAAGTTACATGACCACTAACAGACGCCTACGATTATTATATAGGTTAAAGTGTATAAACATATGTATAAATTAATATGTTATATAAAAGAAATACAAATATATACATAACGTAAATATGTTATTTAGAAATAAATTCACATTATAACCAAATCTTGCGAAATTAAAAAACAATCCTTGGGCTTCTTTGTTCATAAATCACATCTCATTTTTGTAATAGCCGCGAGCATCTGTTTTTTAAAGCTTAATCAAACATCGTATAATATAGAGTTAACTTCGAAAGGGAAAATAACCTATTACAATCTGATGTCAGCGAAACTTAAAGAGAAGAGTTTAGGCGTCGTTGAATAAATCTGAAATTTATTGCCTGTAAATAATTTCGATACTGTTACCAATGACTGAGTTAAGCACTCGTAAATGGGACGTTTTAGAGCTTATTTCACGACGTAGCTTTAGATCATAAACTTTGTTTGCTTAATAATAAAAGTAATAAGAGTGTAGATTTATTTGTGTGTTTATATAATATTTCAATTAATGTTGGCATTTGTGGCATTCTTTGGGGGAGGAGGGAGGAACAGAGGGCTTGTAAAGACCTGTTATGATGATGATGTTGAAATAATTAATATTGCATCAGTACGAAATCATCAATTTTGACGAAATTCCTAATTTAATTTTAAAAACAAATAATTTAACTTAATAAAGGAAAGTTCCTAATGCTATTGAACTTTTTAGAATTTTTAATAGAATATTGTTGACAAACAAGAACACAATACACATGATTGTAATTAGATGCTGTGGCCATTGACATCTACATTTATCTTTAATTAAATATCTAAACGAAGATGCGTTATCACTCTCACTTCCACTAATAAGTGTTTCCTGTTCTCACCATACGAAACGCAGCATATTCTGTGAGAACGTGGATCTTCCCCGTTTGGCCCCACTCATTCGTGATTCTTTCTATAATAATATAGCTGCAATGTGGCTCTACCTACGAACTGTAGGGGAGTCACACTTATAAAAAATTAAATACTATAAAACATACACACTTTACATACATAGTTCCCTGCTGAATTTCCCAATAGACACGCATGATAGTCGTACCTATTGAAATACTGGGTGGATATTTTTTTACCTACATTTTCATTTTTTAATTTTATAGTTTTTTATTTTATTTATTGTCATTCATATTCATAGTCCATCTAATTTTCATGCCTCTTTTTACTCTTAGAAATCATCTCTACCAGTTTCTTAAGCGCGAATACCGAGTCATCTGAACCTCCTGGTCTGCATGATCATATTTGTGCTAGTTTTTCTCCCTACCCCAATAATTTTTTCACACACAATATGTTTGTGCCTAATATCCTAACCTTCTAGTATCCATTAGCAAGTCTAATCGACGTAATTGTTAAATCTGAAACTTTTTTCAAACCTTCTCTTTATTCTTTTCAGTTTTCACTTCCTGGTTATGTTTTGATACATACATAATAGCTATTAACTTGCGTTCTAAAATTCCTTACAAACTTATCTTTTCTTTCCCGTTAATTTATCCTGCTTATCTGGGGAGTAAGTACCCTTTCCTTTAAGTTACGGTTCATTATACATAAATCCTTCTTGGTGTGATAAATTATTTATTTTTATATATTTGGAAATATACTTACAGACTTCTGTCCTATATACAGTCATGTAATCGTGATGGAATATTTCAACACATGCTTACTTAAGCACGTTCATATAAGCTGAAGTCTATTGTGTCCTCACATAATCTGCAAATTTCACCCTTCTCTGCCACCCATCATTTTTCCAACGGCACTTGACCTTGTTATAGTGTCATTTTTAAATAATATTGCAAATCATGGAAAAATAACAGCTTGTTTCTCGTAACATGACCTTATTTTCATATCGTACCGTATCGACCACCTGATCGTAAATCACATTTACGATTTCTTCGTAGCTACATGGGTATTGACTTAGAAGCCATAAGACGAGATGCAAGTAAAATGGATTGGTCTTTCGCAAATGATCGTGATAATATCGATGATATGATCAATAGCTTTACTGCTTTAATATTTAGATTGTATGATTGCCATGCCCCTCTCAAACTTATATAAATAAAACATTGTACTGCTCCCTGGATTGCGACTGAGATAAAAAAGTGCGCGTAGGGATTAAGTCAGAAGGAGATTTAAACATTGTCCCTTGGAAATATAACTAAAAAAGTTTAAGATTCTACGCAACCGTTGCAATCGTTTGTGTAGAGAAGCTAAAAGGCGCTTCTTTTATGACTCCCTTTCTTTTCACTTTATTTTCTCAAAACGGTCGGCATTGGCAAAAATCCTGCGCTTGAGAATGGCAATCTTGATATAGATATACTCAATCAATATTTCTCTCGTCCACATGTTTCATTACCTTTATTTATAAAAGCTGAGACCCTGTTTGAATTATCCAGACGCCGTTTGCAAAATTTCTTCCAGTTTAAATTTGTATCAGTGTCAGAAGATGAAGTAAAGTTATCAGTGCTAACTATATGTTCTTCTTCGTCGGAAAACGATACAATTTCTTCCACAATGAAAACAATGACCTTTATTTTGACCATTACCTTGTATTCTGGGAGAATTTCGTATCTTGGAAAATTAAATATGGGAGAAGTTCTTACTCACATATTTAATTTTTATTATCTTACACCTGTTTTCCATATTCGTCGGAGTTAGCAAACGTATATAGCAATTTCTTCCACAATGAAAACAATGACCTTTATTTTGACCATTACCTTGTATTCTGGGAGAATTTCGTATCTTGGAAAATTAAATATGGGAGAAGTTCTTACTCACATATTTAATTTTTATTATCTTACACCTGTTTTCCATATTCGTCGAAGTTAGCAAACGTTATTCTTATAGCCAAGTTGCTAACCTCACATTACTTTCAGAATTTTTAACTATATCTATATATTACTATTCCTCTCTAAAGTACTTCAACATGTTATTCATAATCAGTTTTCTTTTATCTTAATTTCAACAATATTTTACGCACGTTTTAATATCGATTCCGGCCCTAACATATTCCCGTTCATTCTCTGTATATGCAGCAAGACACTGAAATTCACTTTTTCCTGCTATTCGAGAAATTAAAATCTATCGTTGTCTTTTATGTAAGTTTCATAGCTTTGATATCTACTATAAGTATATGTGCAGACATAAGTTGCGTTGCGTATAAGTGTAAGCCCACACAGTATGGATAAGGGAGAAATAATTGTCTATCTCACTCGCACGCGACATACCCTGCTGACTTACGGAATATGCTTTGAAGACCTACTGATGACAGATAATCCGTCCAAAATTGCCTTTCTGAAACCCCACAGACTGGTGATTTGACAAACCCAGTGCGAACGTATCACGTGTGTACTCGCTTAATGTAGTGAATGTGGCAAATAAGTTCGAAAATGCCTACTTTTTTAAAGAACAAGGCTGACAAACTAGCACACAGTCCACCTGATGGTAAGTGGATGCTGTGGCCCATAGACATCTACATTTATCCTAGATTAAGAATCAAAACGTAGACTCGTTGTCTCCTCTGATGACTAAAATGAAATGCCTCGTTTACAGCAAAAAAAGGTCTACGGATCCCTACACACCCCATACAAAATACAGCTATATCAAGCTGCTATTTTACGATTTTTAACCTTAAAGTAGATGACGAATGTGAAAACTAAGACAATATTCAAAGTGTGATATTTTGCATAAACATTGGTTCCGACTGGAATATAAAAAAATCGAATAAATGTTAGGCCTTGTTTCTGTCTAGGAACTTTTTCTGAAAAAAGCCTCTTAGCTACTTTAGCACAACACTGCTTTCTTTTTGTATTCCGGTATGATCGATACAGTGAGCTAATAAAATTACAGATATGAATGCTTTCAGTTTTATCTCTCGTCAACATAACATGCAAATAGATGAAAGACAAAACAAAGCTAAAAATAAATATGAGAACACAGATATAATTTACACTGACAATTAGCTATTAATCATATAATTAATTACTAGATTTCAATATGTATTATTTATATTCTTTAGTCAGTAAAAGTATCTATTTCTATTGATATTCCCATTAACAACTTTAACTAACTTACATTAGTTCAACATCGCTGTAGCTATCGTTAAGAAAAAAGTTAGTTACTTCATGTTCAGCTATGTAATCATCCTATTCCTCATTAATTTTCCACGATAAGAGATCGAGTCCCTAATGTCACTTTGAATAACTGCTTACGGTACTCTTGTTCACGAGTATGTGATTTCATTTAAGGGACTTTAAGGGAATGCGGGATGATTATATTTAATGAAGTAATTTGTTTTGCCCAAACTTAATATGATATGATTATAACTGCTGCATTTTTTTATATTATTTAACATTTACGTGTTAGAGCTGTGGCGAATTATGGTCACCCAGTATAAAAAATAATAATTATTTTATATGTTGATAACAACTTCGGCTCTTCATGATAAAACACGGCGTTGCGAAAATTACGACATTTTTAATTTTGTTGATGAAATAGCGCAAATGTGTTGAATCAACCTGAAATACACAACGCTTACGCAGAATATATTTATAAAAATATAAATAATAATTAGGTTTCTTGAGGTAAATGAGAATAATATTTTTTTTTCACATCAATAGTGGGTCTCAGCATCGGCTCACAATTACACCTTCATTAAAACAACTTCTGGCATTCCGTTAATCACAAAACAATATTGGGACTATTGATAGCCGCATGGGAGTTACCATACTTTCGTGGGTTTGGTAGAATGTAAGCAAGGGGAGAAGAAGAAGGTGTTGATGCTAAGAGACAGTATGATCGTCTTTTTAACAAATATAAAAGCACCAAACAGAAACCATTGTATGAGGCTCAAAACCATCTGGAAATTCAGCTAGCAATCCAACTGCCAACCGTATAGATTACGAGGGTAGCATTGAAAGTTTTTAGAGTATCAAAAACTGAACAAACTAGCAAGTTATTGGTTTTATTATATATTTTCAAAATAGTGTCCATTTACATCAATACATCGCTGCATCCGATGGAACCACTGAGAAAAGAACTTTCCCCACTCATCCTTAGGGGTCTCTTCGACGGCGTTTCGAAACGCAGTCACTGCTTCCTCGGCGTCCATAAAACGTTTTCTTCGAAGTTTTTATTTTATTTTCGGAAATAAATAAAACCGCAAGGTGCCAGGTCGGGGCTATAGGGCAGGTGATACAGTAATTCCACGCCTGACGTCACCAAGTAGTCGATTGTTTGCTTGGCGGTGTGCGACGTGGCGTTGTCGTGGCGAAGGGTGATCCTACTGCGAAGTCGTTTCCCCCAAATTTTTTCCAAGACAAGTGGCAAACAATTATTAATGTACCACTCTGCCGTAACTGTTTTTCGATCCTGTAAAACAATTTTTACCTGACCTATCTTTCCGAAGAACGAGGCCACTATCTTTTTTCCCACATTTCGCGACCTCTCTTCACTTTCGTACTCGTACTTTCACACTCGTAAGGAAGCACACTGTCACTTAGTTTCAGGATCATAACAATAAATCCAGCTTTCGTCACACGCAAGTATGTCGAATACAGCATTTGAGTCACCTTCGTAAATCTTTGAACCATTTCAAGACACCAATCAACACGATGAAGATTTTAGGCCTCTATCAAATTATAAGGTATTCACCGGGCACAAAGCTTCCTGACCGCTAAGTTTTCATGTCTCATCTCAGATTTTGCGCACATGAGTCAAGTACACAAAATCTGATCCAATGCCTAAGTTTGTCCGAATCTCCCGATAAGTCACGCTTTTGTGCGTATGATAAGTCTCTATCGTATGCCGCCCAACACTGATGTTATCTTCAGTCGTCGCCGTAGAAGGCCGTCCTTCACGCAGACCATCGGTGAGATTAGTGCAACCACGTTTAAACTCATTGTTTAAACCAGTTGTAAACAGTGGCACGAGATGGGGCTTCATCGAGAAAGGCCAACTGAAGTCATAACTTTCTTGTTGACTTAAATGAAATCGAAAGTCTTAAAAAATACACTCACCATACGAAACACAGCAGCTTTAGGCTATTATTTTACGCTGGTGTTCTGTGAGAGCGTGGCTATCAATACTACTAATATGACTGCATCATGGCTCTACTAAGTATGAAAACGTTCCTCTACCTTGTTAATTAACTTGCTATTTAGGGGAATAAAAATGATAATGAGAGGTATAATGTAATTAATAATTATAATAGTTGTACAACTTCAAAGGCATTTATTCTGTTGAAGATTGAATACAATTGTATAAGAAATAAAGATTTAAGGATAAATTTAAGACCAAAATATTTAAGTTAAGTCTGTTTTTGATTATAATACTCAATTTATTGTAAATATTATGGAAATAAATATTAATAAAATTATGATAACATCTTTGTTTTCAGGTAATTAATTTTACGTTTCTCCAACTTGGCAGTAAGTACAATGTCATTTTATATTCAGTACTTATTTGGGGTAAGTCTTAAATTTAAATTGTATAAAATGGTTTTGACCATACGTATGACGTTTTAAATAATTTATTACTCCATAGAAAGGAAGATGTGTTCTCGAGTAGCAGGCACGTTATGACCACGCTGTGTTGGGCGACCCCCACTAATTTTGCCCTGAATGGCCTTTTGAAACAAGCAAATAGTTGATGGATACGGTCCTTAATCGAATATTGTGGCAATTTATGGGGAAGGCCTATGTACAGACTGGAGATGTGCTGTAATGGTGGTAATAGTGTGATAGTGATTACTTATAGAAAATCAGTTTTACTATTGTACTTCCCGTTTGATGACTCATTATTAAAAGATCTATTTTTATTCTAATTTACACTATTTAAGTGAAAACAAAGTCAAACATTCACAACAGAATTAAGCGCCGAATAAAATTGCAGTGTACACACACTTTAGTCATTTTTATCAAGATAGACGAAACTACAAACACATACATAAAATCGGTGGACCCTATAACGTAGAAATATTTTAAAAATAATTTTAAAAGTAATCAGCACAGCCAATTTCAAATGGAAAGTTAAAAATACCAATAAAAATGTTTAATTTTAAATGACATATGATATCTTTGGAAAACCAGGCTTACCGGTGCAATCGAGCGCATAATTTGTGGCTATATCATGGTAATTGCGAGAGAGCTCTGAGGCAATTTGTGAAGGCAAATAATGTTCAAACGTCAACACACAATAATGAATGGTTGAGCTTCTGCTATCATTAGAGCCCGCTGCAACTACATAATTTTATATGCTCATTATATGCGACCTAGATCACAAATATATATTATTTTCACAATAAGTTGTTACAAAGTGGTAGACTTTGTTACAATGAGACAGAAAAATATAGACTATTCCTATCTTCGGACACATTGAAGGTGTGTAACTTTTTTATATATGAGGGACCAACGAGCATGCTGCTCACCTGATGGTAAGTGACTACCTTCACCCATGAATAACTACAACACCGTACGAGGACTTTTAAAAAAAGGAAGCTCTATGAAAAGACAAACAAACTTAAAATCCACATGATGGTAAGTGA